CCTGCGGCCACAGTAGCGGCCACCAAGGCCGGAGAGAGCCCCGAGCCCAAAGCCCCCYGAGTTGATGGGCACGCCATCCTCGCTGAGGATGCTGCCCACGGCGGCGGAGGTGGAGGATCCCACGGCRGTGTTCTGGGGGAAGGAGCTGAGGATGGGCCCGGGCAGAGTGACCACCACGGGCGAGGGCTGGATGACCACGCGGGAGTCCTGGCACTGGCGCACGCAGGGCTCGTTGCAGCTGTTGGCCAGTGGGGTGGGGCCGCAGGGCCGGCACAGGTCGTAGCAGGACATGGCTGTGGCTGCAGGAGCACCTGGACAAAGGATGGGAGAGCACCCAGGAAATGGAGATGCTGCTCTGAGGAGAAGGAGCAGATCCTGGGGACAAGAGACACCCTGGATCCCAAAGTGTTCCCTGGAAAGAAAACCCAACAGCTCCCAGTTCTCCTGAGAGATGAACAAGGACAGCACCGATGGCAACAGAAAGACCAAAGCTCTCAGGTCCCCACAGAAGCAAAGATTTGGTTGAGGTCCAAAGGAAAAAAGGAGAAGAGGAGAGGAAGAATGAGGGAAAGGCTCTTCCTACTCACCTCACTCTCAGGAGGAGAAGGCAGAAATGGATGAGGGATCCCGCAGCTGGAGTTGCTTTTATACCATCCAACACCGCCCCAGGCCCCGACGCGCCTTTGCGGGGAAGGTGTTTACCAACAAGCTCATATTTTATGCAAAGCACCCCAATTAAGGGAACTGGAGGTTGTTGATGTTCCCTGCAACGCTGCCTTTTCATTTCCCTGCGCAGGATATGCCCAGTCAGCCAAACTGGCTCCTTTCAAGTGAAGGCGTTAGAGGCCAGAATGTTTTTAGGGTATTTTTCAGCCAGAACCAGGCTGGGTGGAGTGGTGCCGTRTTTCCAGGTGATGTCAGCACCTTTCCCTCCTGAGGCATCCTTGGAGTCTTTGGATTAATAAATGCATTTTTTTTCATTAGAAACCTGGAATTAAAGGTCTAGTTTTGGTGGGGACTGGCCGTAGACGTTGCTCTCTGTGACTCCAAGGCCTTTCAAGCCTATTTAGACATCAGAGAGGCTCCATGGGCTGGTTTTGAACATTCTTTGGGATCTCATGTTGCCTTTAGAAGGAATTATCTCGTTTCTTCTGCCTTTTACCTCTTTCAGCATCGCCTGGAGTTGTCCAGTCAGCAGAACAAGAATGTTCCAGAAGGAAGGACACTGCTTCCCCACAGCAAGGATTAGTCAGGGTCATTATCTTGTAGGAAACCCTCCCTAATGAGAACATCTGACCYCAAAACTCTTTTTTCTAATGTTCCTCACAGCCATTCCTCCACTTCTTTCCTTCCCCCCAACCTCTGACCAGACCCTGAACACAGTCCCAAACACTCGGGAATATTTCCAAGCAGGACACGACCATCACTGGGAGCACCTGAGGGCTGGCAGTGCCAGCCTGGAGAGCAACAGGGTTCAGGATGTCCCCAGAGACACCTGGTACAGGGCAAGGCCAGACTTGATGTCCCCACGAGCAGTGACATCCCTGTTCGGGTGCCACCTGTACAGCTGGGACACCCCTGGTGGCAAAGGGTGGCCAGAACCGCTGCCCCAATGGGGTTGGGGCTCCAGAAACTCTTCCGTCCCAGAGGTCCAGGCCAAATTCATCACTCAGGAAGGTGAAGGGAGCTCTCAGGTTGACAGGAGATGTTTCTCCAGGCTAACACATTGAGCAGAAAATCCTGGGTGTGACTGAAAAAGGGCAGATCTAAGAGATTTTTGAGATTTCCTGCCAAACACAGGGAGGTTTCCATCCGTGGCATTTCCATCTAAATCCCTTCCATGGGCAAAACATTAAAGCAATGAATGCATTTCCAGCCCTCTGTTCATTCCCCTGACTCCACCCTCCCCATTCCAGAAGGTCTTGGGAATCCTGACCCACCCCGTCCTCTCAAAGCGTGTCCTGGGGGTGTCACCTCCGTCTCAGGTCTCATTTTGACCTCGTTCCTGCTGCTGTCCACTCATGGCTCAGGCAGGGATGGGAGGGCATCTCCACAGCAGAGAAGACATGGAGAGGTTGGAAGGATCATTTTATTTCAGAAATTCAGCACCAAAATAGGTCAGAAGAG